GTGGACGTGGCAATTACACAGTGTGCACATAGTCTGCGTTTTCGTAGATTAAAATCTAAATTGTGATGAAGAACAATATCCGTTGAGTCGTTTTTTAATGTGTTGTCATTATTAAATTTCTCCGGGAATTTGGGGAATTTATTAGCTTCATTTATATTGAAATCTTTAATGGTAAGTTATTTTGAAATATTTTTTAGGATTTTGCCCGAGGCATTATTCTATTACTTTTTCTAAAACTTTCATTAATTGATAAATTGTGCATATTGCTTTAATGATAGGAAAATCAGTAGTGTTGTTCTGTCAAAATACAGCGTTGAACAAAGCAATTTCGTAGCGATTAATTGATTAGATGTTCAATCAGACTTCGAAGGGTAATAAAACGAAGGTTAGTTAAGGTGACCAGGGCGTAGTACTTATAATTCCTACGTGTCACTCTACATGAAGGCATGCCCAAGGTTTTAAGTGGGCAGGCCCCCGACCTTTGGTTTTCTCAGCGGTATCCCCACTGAGTGGGACCGTGAGGGAGGAGAATCCTACACATCCCCTGTTGGTCCGTTAGACAGAAGGCAGACTGCGCAAAGCATTTTCCCTGGATAAAATAAAGCTTAGAATAAACTGTTACTGGTTTGGGCAGCGGTTTTCCACTGCCTGTAATTTTAATTATATATTTACTATATTTTGAAGCCTTATTGTGGTATGTGCAACGTTTACATATAATTCATAACAAAAAATATCGGCCACTTCTAATAGAGTTAAAAATTCGAACTTCATGTAAAACCATTACCCCCTGCCGTCGTCGCCTTGTTATTGGACCCCATCCAGCTGTACTTTGATTCCGCTAGTTTGTATTACATCTTGACCAGTCCATCCATGTCTTCCGTGAAGAATTTTACTCTTGATTGCTTATTTTCGCTACTTAGATCGACACAATCTGCTTGGAAGATCCGAACATTGAGTCATACTTATTAGCATAAATAAACAAAGAACGCAAAGTTTGCTCTTACCAAATTGAAAGAGAAGGCGAATCGCAAGTCAACGACCTGTACTATTGCACTACTTATATTGAAGCGACCAGCTCACGTTGGACCTTCCTCCTTCCTTTAGTTCAATTCTACGGTTAGATGAACGAGCGCATCTGGAAGGTTCTACCTTACTGGTCGTCAGTACATTCAACTTGGCGAAACGTATGCAGTCTCAGTAACTCAAGGTTTCGTGTGACCCTGGTGGATGCACGCTCACAATTTAATTATTAAGTTACGAAATACTGACTCTAATTACAATAAGTATAAGGCTAATTAGAAGCAGCTGTTGTTGACTAGCTTTACCCGTAATTAATTTTCTTAGGAATTAATTTATTGAAGAGTGAATACTTCTTTGTTGGAGGGTGGAGAAATGTGTTCAGTGATGACCATGACTTGCTTACCTAGTTCTCTTAGCAAAGACAACAATAAACCAACTGTGATGTGTTACCTGTATAGCCTGAGGAGTTTCTGCAAGTCTAGCGTTTATGTAGACTCAGTAAAAGCATATACCATCTTAAATTACTTCTTGTTTACAATAGGCAATTGTAGCCTTCGATGATATAGTTTCATTATTCTTTTAAATAGACTAATTATTGTCATTAGGTAACGATTCTGCGTCTAATTTCGTCTCTTTCTGATGAAATAAACATGCAACTCTTATGTAAAGTAAAATGATTGTATAGAATGACACGGCATTTTATCGTTATGTAATAAAAAAAAGTATGAATATGCATTATATTATTTATCAAACACACCGCTATTCCGTGACTGGCGTTCACGAAATTCAATTCGAATTCACTGTGCGTACTCGCAGCGGCATAATGTCGAATTTCTCGAGTTCATTAAACACTGTATAGTTCAATGTTTTAATAGGCATTACATGATTAGAGTGTGAGAGCTCGATAGCGAATGCAGAGACAAAGTGACTTGCGCTATGGCTGGTTTTAGGATGGATGACTAAAAAGCCGTGTTAACACCCACCAGCCCCGCTGGGCCTGTACGTTAGATTATCGTCTATGCTCCCTATTTAGGAAATTAAAAGACTGACGACGATTATGATTGTGTTAATCTGTATTATATACACAGCAGCTCTTAAGGTTACTACAAAAAAGCTTGAGCTGTGTAATTCTCACGTTGCTAATGAAGACTAGAAACGGAAACTCCCTCAAAATTGCGACGTTATATAAAATAATCTTTGGGTAAAAATAAGGCTAGTAACAGAACATCGAGTAAACCAATTCAGAATTCTTTCTATTTGTAAAACCAGTAGTAATTCTTAGGGATGCGTTATGTAAGACCCCAAGGTAAAAAGGAGATTCTAATTGCTAAGTATCTCATAAACCATGATAGCTAGATACATGAAATTTTTACAGATAATGTACGTATTTCTGCTGCTGCCACACCAAATACTAAAAACAGAATAAAATAAATAATTAATACGACAATTGATGATTTTTTTTATTTTACACGTACGTATTTGGCCAAATGATAGCCCATTTTTGCTCTTTGATTGAATTCCATCTGTCCCTGAATGGGACCTATTTGATACATTTTTGTTTATGGTTTTTATATTTATTTTTTATAATGTTTTTGTTCATTATGTCGATTCCTTATGGGCTTGCAATATATGTCCCACGAAAAAGACGCATTTTTATTTACGGAAAATTTTCTATAAACGGCTAAATATTATTCGTTTACACCATCGATAAGAAAAGCCTGTGCCCCAGCAATACATTAATGAGAGATACAAAAGTAAATAAGATGTAATATCCTCCTAATGCACTCGTAAGCCTCTAGCAATTTCCTAATCTGAATATGAAATAGATTTGAGAATGACCGTTCAACAGTAAAGCATCGATACAGAACAGTGTTAGAGGAGCTCCCCTTTCTAATTCGTACGCCGACGTCGAGGGTCGTAAAATAACGGTGGCACGAAATAGGTCGCGCTTGGTAAATATCCAGTGGCCTATATACGGACGTTTCCCTGTGTTATTTGCGGTGCGTTAACGATATATTATTACGGAATTTAGTTCCTTACATAATAAGTAAAATTGAAAACTACGAACAATAATACATTTTTTTTTTACATCCTTTTATTTAGTCTCACCTGTCCGTTCCATGTTTGTCTTTCTATAATCAAATTTTGCAGGCTGATTTCACCCACTTCCTAGTGATCCCAGTAGATTTGGCCAGAAGCGCATTTTGCAGAATGAGTAAGGTCCTATGCAACAGGAATCAAAGTCTTGAACTCCAGCTGTTATAGTTCGATGTTACATCTTCTCAGTACTGTTGTATGGGGTCGAGTCATGGACACTAACACAAAGTGCGCTTAACAAACTGGAGGCCTTTGAAATGTGGGTGTACCGTCGATGATCTCGAGCTTATTAACACCATCAAGTGCCGCAAGCTCTCTTATTTTGGCCACGTTATGAGGAATAAGAAATACAGAGTTTTTCATCTCGTAATTCAGGGGAAAATTATAGGGATACGCAGTGCTGGATGAAGGCGACATTCCTGGTTTAGGAATTTAAAGGATTGGTTTGGGCACTTCATCCCTGTTCCGAGCAGCAGCCTCTAAAATAAAAGATAACCATGATGCTGTCCAACCTCCGATAGGACTGGCATATCAAGAAGAAGAACAAAATCTTTTTTTCACTTGTTTAGTTTATATCTTGAGAGTGTGACAGCCGTGGTAGCTACAGTTGAAATTTTACATTTTTATGATGTAATTCTGTTGCCGCTCTAATAATAATATTCAAGGGGGCTAGATAAGTTTAGTATTTTTTAGAAGCTAGGTTAGTTTAAGTGGCTAGATAGTCTGATGAAGTCGATAAAATAATATATTGGGAAATCTGCGCTTCCCTCACTGAGGTGAAACAGTGCATGTGCATGTGAAAGAAATTTTTGATATTTATGCTTTGGCGATGCTTTGGCAACCTTATAACTTGTTTCCCTGTAACTTATTGTGATCTATACTAATATTTTAAAGAGGTAAAGTTTCTAACCTTGATTGCTTAGGTATTAATGGCAGGGTATTCTTCGGAAATACTGAGCCGATAAAAAAAAATCTTTCACCTACGGAAAGCTTCATCATACACTGGTGAAAGGAATTATCAACGCACGCGAAGTCGCGAGAAAATATCCCGAAAACTATATTTTTTATATTACTTATGCATTCGACTGACCCATATAAAGAGTGTTCTTATTTTACCGTTTAAAGGTTTTTTTAACCACTCGTGTTTTCAACGTTGCCTCATTGATGTCAATGGAAAATTTGATAATCATAAAACGCTTACGCAGAGAACTTTAAACAAAACACAATGTAGTTTTGAGGAAAACATGAGAAGCGTTGCTACGAACATAGTTAATAACTGTTCACAGTGAAAACGCAATTATGTGAAAGCCAGCTTGTCTGAGGGCTGATGGCCGATTTCAATGTTTAACCGTAAGGAATGACGGCTTGTTACAAACGCACAAAGACCGCTTTCACTGCTAACAACGTTAATCGATACAGACAAAGAATCTATTCAAGGCTCACTTTGAATACAAAAGTACATCTCTAGAGTTGGCATCTTTAATTACGTATCTTTTATTTATAACACAACTAAAAGTATAATTTGGTTATAAGACTCTCTGGGTCTAGAACAAGATTTTAATAGTGATGTTTCGTCTATTTCTGAAATGCTAATATGACTCTGAAGAAACCGATTTGTCGATAATTTATTATGCAACGGAAGTAGGACCTCACACTACCTCTGATGCTCAGATAACCTTCAGTGATATGATTTTAGGACGATTTTGATTATCCGAATGTTCGTTCGTGGACTAACAGGCTAGGCCCTTCGATTTCTACCAATCACGTACTTTTACTCCAAAATCTTATAGGTTACCACTTATTTTAGGGTTAAACAAATAATTTCCGTTTACAAGCTCATAGATATATAATGTATTTATGTTTAAGTTGTATTACGTTTGCAGGTCACAAGAAGGCCAAGTTGGTGAGAAGACAAACGATTCTGGAAACAGAATACCACCGCACTGTCACATAACAATCAAATGTACGAGAGAGGTAAGTGCTTTTCTTCTACATTTATATTGATTTTCATATATCACTAGTGGGAAGTGTGAAGAAATCTGACTATTGTCATCATGTCATAGACCTAATTCATGTTATTAATTAATTAAACAGAACAAAAGAATCTCATATATACATAACGTAAGGCAGCTGTTATAAAGCAAATCTGTTCATAACCAAGTTCGAATCTATGTCTTGCGTACAGCACCTAATAGTCAAACTTGGTTATGAATAGATAGCTTACATGAGTATGACACGCGGTACGGAAATTATGATGTGATCCCAAAGATTACTTTACCCTTTTCGGCCTGGGTCGATAAGTAAAAATAGTGTCCACCGTGAGTGTGTTTATTTTTTGTTATTTGAAAATATAACAAAAAAGAGTGAGTTGTTTGTAGGGAACTGATTTGATTAGACCTTCTTTGCCAGTGTCTATTCATCGATAAAATGTCTATGGTTAGCGTATATGAAAATATTGTTTTAAATAGATCGCAGGTTTCAATGGCCTATCTGAAGCAGTTCGACGCCTGGACTTTTCTTCGGCCGTTCGTGATGTGCGACGGTTCAACTATATATGTGCACTGCTGGAATTGTTACTCGGCGGGCAGAAGCTGACACACCTGCCCGGTGCAGCGCAGAAATTATTGCTGTCTATGTTGGAGCAATTGGCAGACCAAGGTTAGTTGAATACGGTGGATAATTTCCAAATAGAGCTTTTTTAAACATGCATATGGTAAAATATCAGATTCTTAAAAATAGTTTTTAATAGTCGATACTGAACCAACCTTTTACACTTCCTCAACATTCATTACTTCTCTTTCTTTTTTAGCTTCTGACATTGACTTGTTATAAACACGCTTAATTTGATCGTCTTGATTGTCCCTGACTTCTACATCCCGTCTACTCTTCGCTACGCCACCACTAACTAATTTTTTTTTATATTTGCCAGTGGCGACATCGCAGCAAAACCTGAACGCGCTGCGAGCGCTAATAGTAGCTTTGTCATCGCTTAGGGAGGCGGAGAAGCGCGCGTGCTGGGGCCGACCGTTGGGCTCGCGGGCATTATGGGGCCACCATGACGACGCCATCGCTAGAATTAACCGGATAGCTTCCAGCATTCGTATTCAGGAGGTTGGTAAACCTATGCATTCGAATCTACATAATTTGAACCGCTGCAACTTTAGAAGTGCAGTTTTTTACAGATACATGCAGTTCAAATGCAATGAACTTGTAGTTAAAAAGCTAGGCTTGGAAATGATTGTGTGTTTGAGATGCGGTTATGTAAACTAGACAGTTACTGCAGTTTTGCAACCAGCGTTCAGTCCGACTTGTGAGTCACTAAAAATAATTTAATCGAGATAGAACGATGGAGCTCAGTCGACGTTTAATCTTTGTTTTTTTTTTACAGCCTGGTCCAGAAGTAGTGCCTAAACTCCACGATTTGCCTGAAGAGTGTATAAGAGAGATTTTACTTAGGATATCGGATCACAGGGATTTAGATGTGAGTATATTTTCTATATGCAGATTTTTTGTTTTAGATTTTAGATACGAGTATATTCACATCAGTATGTTAGAGTAGCTTTGAGTTCACAATGTTCCCAAGATCTGTGCCTGCTTTTACTTACATATCTTAACATTTGAGGTTTATTTTACTATTACACAATTGGCTAAATACATCTGTGCGAGCGCAATTGTAATGTGTTTGCATATGAGCGAAAGAGATATGTGGTGTCGAGAATTATATTTGTCCGACGAGCAGGGCCGGATCTAGGACTGGGGACATCTGGCCTGGGGCTTGTGTGAGGGGGAGCCCTCGTCATCATTCAAAAAATTCAAATTCATTTTTTTGTCAAATTTTTGGGTATACAACACATGCAAAGATGTTATAGCCAAGTCAAATCCCAACAAAAATCTGCCTAGTTCGACATACAAACATAACATAGAAAGTCAGATTGAAAATTCAGTGTAATGCAAGCGCCCTAAAGGTGACGTGTGCCGGTAGGCGGCGTCGGGCGCGTGGAGCGTGATGGCGGGCGTGTGCTCGGAGCAGCGCGTGTGGCGCGAGCTGGTGGCGCACCACTACTCGCCGCTGCAGCTGCAGCACGTGCTCAAGGATGCAGCCGAGCCCACCGACTGGCGAGACACCTTCCACCGGCTCAGGAAGTAAGCATACGATACGATACGGGTGTAGACAGTGGACGATAATATATGTATACGTATTTTTTTTTCTGGTAGTGTTTTTATATACGATTGCCGAAAATCACACTTTTATGCTTATATTTATATTATATTGTTTAAATTAATTATGAAAAGACGTATATTTTATACTCGTTGATACGTGACCGCAAACAGCGTGTGACGTCTCTGACTCGTATCAGAACTTGGAGAATTAAACCTTATGCATACATAGAAAGATATTTAAGTTTTAGAGGGGCCTGACGCCATAGCGACGCCATGGCAAAGTTGGAGATTTCGCGGGAAATTTTGAAAATTAAATTTGTTATTAGATTTTAACTTATGAATGATATTTTTTTGTATATATTTTTAGATATAATTCATTTATATATATAAAATGAAAATATAAAAAGTTAATGGAAACCCTATAGAATTCAGTTCTTTTCTCGTAATGAAAAAAAAATACAATTAAGATAGCTTAGACAATAAACAGTCTGAAAATATTAGTTGCAGTTCGTAAAATAAATTAATTAATTTTTAAAATTAAAAACTAGTTTTTAGTTAAACTTTAGTTTAGTTTTTTTTATTAAGCGAATCAGAAGCCGCCATAATATGACGTCACTCGCTATTGTAAACAAACAAAGAAACTAAGTTCAAGCAAAGCTAACTTTAGAGCCTGTTATAAGAATCTGACGAGAGCAATTCACGTTTTGTTCTGAGTTATGTTTAAAATGGACAATTCTATGTTTCAGACTATATGGACTGCGGGAAGACACTCAATATGCAGAGACGCTGTCCCTGTGCCGCCACTGCAAATGCTTGTTCTGGCGATCTCTGGGACACCCGTGCATAGCTGATCAGGTATATGTTTATAATTTTATTTCTTCCTATCTAAAACAGCGTATAACCTAAATTATCCCAGAAATCGAACTTGAAATCCCAAAAAAAAAATACAAAAATGATTATTTTTTCATAATGTTAACTTTTTCACATTAAAATCATGTTTGAGAGTGTTTGAGAGAAATCATTCAAGAGTGATGCTGCTTTTTATAAAATATTAATAATTCCATCATTTATTTCCGAACTTTCCGTTTCCTTTAATACCTAAGTTTCGAAAATATTTTATGTTCTTGACCCAGTTCCGGTTCAAGAACAAAATCTTTTCAATTTACTTAAAAAATCTTTGCTTTAAATTTGTTGAAACGTAGTACCACCATCTAACAACATTTAAATTTTGTATTATAAGTATAATATCTCTAATACTTCTTAAAAATTGATGTGAGATATCACCATATTTTCATCAAAGTATATTGTAATATCATCCTTATGCCTTCTATATTTAGTGTCCAGAATATCGCGAGCGCTTGCGCGAGGCGGGCGGTCCCCTGGCCCCGCACCCCGTGCCCCCCGCCGCCTTCCTCAAGTTCTTCTCGCTGTGAACAACGAGGCCTAAACTAAACTCCGTCTCAACGGTTCTAGCGTACGATGCGTTTGTTATGTACACTGTTAAAAAGTATTAAACTTATCGGATCAGTGCAGACATTATCAATAAACAGCTTTATAATTTTTATTTTAATAAAAGATTAAGATACTTTAAATTCAACAGTCTCAGGCGTCTCTCAGATGGGATTTGTGACCATATATTTTTGCCAATCAAGATTCTTAATTGTTCCAGTTGACTGACAATTTACTATTATAAAAACAATATTAATATTATAAATGAAAATTAAATGCTGTGTGTTGGTAAACGCTTCACTGGGAATGACTAGGTACGGCTAGACCGATTTGGCATTTTATTCTTTAATATTCATAATGAGAATGAGGTTTTTTAAAAATTATTTAGGGCAAGGGGAATTGCAATTTTGCCCGATAAATTTAAATGTTGAGAAAAACTAAAAGTATATCTATAGGATTTATTTTAGGATAGAACATGATTTAAAACATATTTCTCGTCTTATAACTGAATATACATATACTTCAATGTTGAAACAATAAATTTCAACTTCATCGAGTATATTGCATTTTTGTTTTAATAAATATAAATAATAAAAGGCAACTAAATTACTAAGCTAAGAACAAACGATGGGTAGCTGTTGCTTGCGATCTCAGGCGTAAAGGCCTAAAATGTTAACAGACATCATAAAATATCGATTTATCATATAATGTGTTCTATTTTTTACTACATAAGATTGCTTGTAGAGTATTATCTGAGTGAGAATACACCCTCATTTGTGATAAAGTGAAAGGGGGAATATGGTTGGATTTTTATTGGTACTTAATGAAAAGAAGATATCAAATGGATCACAAGTATGTATAAGGTTCTGGCACACCGGGATTTTTTAGCTAGTTTCTCCATTTGAGGTGTAAAATGTAACATGTTGATTCTATCAAGTTATAAGTACAGAGTGGTGTGTTCATTTCAAATGTGTTTAATACTGTTACATTATAATTACATAATTACCATGATAATTTATTGATTTCTTTCAATCAATGCTAGCACTAAGTTTTGCGGTGTGCTAAAACTTTTAGAAATATTGAGAGCGTGTGTAGTGTGTATTAACATAATAATACTAAATAAAAATAATTTATGCCAGTGAAATTATTGGAATCTATTTGTGACCAAATAATAATGATCTATCAGCCAGTTGCACAAACGTCCATTAAAATTAGTTTAAATCGATATTACCAATAAAAAATTGACATTCGTTAGAGCTTAATAAAGGCGTCATGAAACCTTAACAACCGTTTGTGTAACTGACTGTATGCAACTTTTATTAACAAAGTGTTAAGTTTGTTTTTGGTATGACCTAACTTGGTTTAATTTTGTTTTTTATTTACGCTTGTTTGCACATTTACTAATCATAAAATAAATTATTAAGTAATGCTTTAAAAAGCTATGTGATAATTCCAAAATTATATACGAGTATGTGTTTGTTATGTTCGTTTTTTGCGTGTTGTGTTTTATATTGTCTATGATTGGTATCTAAATAAAAAGATTTTGATTTAATTTTCCATAGATTTTTTGAATTTTAATATCATACTTGGTAAAATAATAATAAATTTAATTAACCTAAACTAAGTATGGCCTTAACTATGTAAATAATAAAAAAATGATAATATTGTGTTTTCAAATTACCGCACACAATTTTTTGTTATTCTTTAATAAGGAAAATACAGTTTAGGTAACTTCTCTATTTTGTATACAAAACCTTTTTAAAAAATCTAATGGAGTGAGAACTATTTGTAGGAAATATTGAGAATTGAATGGAAGCGATAATCGCCATAAAGTCGCATTAAAATTTTCCTAGCTATATACATTATATGAGTACATACACGTCAAGTTACAAAACTTAACGTTCATAATTTCAAGCGGAATATTTTATTGTCATATATAGATAAGTTATTCAGTTTAATCTGCATTTAATGTCGTTAAATGATACAATACTGTCTAATAACTGTAGTAAAAACTGTCTAGTAACTAGATTATACAATCTGTTATGAATTCAAAATTAGTGATCACTTTAATTGGGAAAACTACTCAAGACGGAATGACTTTTGATGTTTATCGTACGAGTACCAATCTAGAGAAGAAATAGCAAACATTTTTTTAGACCAATGTAAGACAAGAGGGCGCTAGTCGAGTGTTAGAAATAATACTCAAGTGTTTCATTACAATTATGCGGACAGTTGTTATATCATTTCCGTATCAATTAAAAACAAACAAGTAATATTATTCATGCGAAAATAATACGGTATATACATGTATTACTTATAATAAGTAGTGGTTTTCACTATATAATCTAACAGCTCTTGATGTTTCATGGAGTACATATTACAATGTGTCTACTACTTAATAGCTGCAACAACATAACTAATTTTTACTCAAATAATGTCTACTGCAAAGTAAGTACATGCTTTAGTGTTCACAAAGTTCGTGCAGTTGCCCTTTAAATTGTTAAAATATTTATTTAGGCAGCTGATGGTCTAATGTAGTTTACGTAATGGAAAAATTAAATGCAAAAAAAAAAACAATTTAAACTATACAATGTGTGTAAGTACTTTTGGAGCTTAAAAGTATTATAGTCTACTACAGTATTTTACGTCCCTATGATTAACGATTTTGCTTGTATTTAAGGTGAAATAATATATGACTAATCAGTCACTATACATAATTTTCAACTTTGTAGTTTTAGGTACAAAATTTTTGCGTTTTATTTTTCTAAATACAGATTACTGTTCTGTAGGCAGCTAAAGATGCCTATTCTCTACAGTTAATTCCTAAAATGTTATCGGCCATTACATCAATAAAGGTTGCTATATTGTGTTTTTAGCATTTGAAAATTGCATTGTCATAAACATATTCAATGTACCGTGTAGAATAGATGTTGATATTGTGATATTTTAAGATAAATTTATTGTAGTTTTTAACTGTAAGAGTTTGGTAGTTCCATTGATGTTAGATTTTTCTTTTCCTATTAGATAAAGTGCAGCTTACCTACTCACATAATAGAAGTCATTTTTCTGTAATCTGTGATGTGTTTTTGTGCAAAGGAATTGTTTTCTTCTTGTGTTCTTATGTATGTTATACTGTATAATAGTATTTTCTGAATAAAGTTATTTTGAATATATTTTTCTTTTTCTTATCTCTTTGGTATATGAAAAAAGAACTACAGGAATAATATTTATATGGAAAGTTGTCTGGATTCCGTGCAACTAGACTATGCCTTAGTCATAAAAGTAGACCAAATGTTCAACTTTGACAAACAGGTTACGAGTTCATATAGGAATTCATTAAGTAACACATTAACAGTGATTGCAAGAAAATATACAATACATCACAGAGTAGGCAACATATGTGTATATAATCTTATTGAAATTACATGTTTACCTTAGCAGTCTGCCAATGCTTGATTTAGACCAAAGACTTACATAGAAGCCTTTGATTTAAATGTTTAAGTGAATTAAATTAATAATACATTGAATACAGGCAAATTATTCTATGACATAATCAAACCAGAAACACGGTGTTGGAGTAATTGCAGACGCTTTAGTATCCAAACATAAAAAAATATTTATTCTTACAAATAAAACAAGTTTAAATTATAAACAGCATTAGAACATTGAAACCGGTTCTGAAATTGGAGTTTTTTTTATTACAATTTGAATATATAATAGCAATATATGTGGTCACTTTACATAACAATTTACCAAGGTTTAATCAGGAGAGTTCACTTCGTACTTTCTCACAATGTCGAACTAGATCTTTTAATTTATACACTAAATCTTGTAACTGTTGACTGCCACATGTAAAACAAACATCATTGCCACAATCAGTTTTTAGTATTACTGTATATAATAAATTATCTGATCCCACTCCTGGCGTATTTGTTACAACTTCCAGTTTCCATTCGACATCCACTATTTTAGGAAGAACACCTATATCTTGGGCTTTGTTCTCTTCCATATTGGTACATTTATAAATTATATTTATTTTATAGAGGGCAGCGATTATGTCATGTCAATTTAAGAAATTCGTGTATCAAATCAATAAAATTTGTAAATACACACAAGACTCACGGACAGTAATCTTCAAAGAAAAAAATGTTAACCTTAAGTCTATGGTTCACATAATTATCATAAATGAGCACAGACTCGGTACCTATGTAAATGAGGAAAAATTTAAAACAAAAAAATTCGTACCCGAAATCTAACTAGATGTCGCTACGGTACGTTCTTGATTTCTCTATGACAACTTTTCCGGTTTTCTTTCATGTTTAAAAGTAAATTACTTTGCAAAACTCAATAAACAACTGTATTCTATTATGTGTATTCTATTTGTACTTTTTCGTATTTGTATTGATATCTAAGTTTCGAACTTTGCTCATTTTTTTATATGTTAGTTAAAAGGAACGGAAGTGACTGTCTTTGGTGCATTCGTTTCCTGCAAAAATCAACTTTTGCTAGAGTCGCCATCTAGAGGAGGTGCTTTTTTAGTGCTTTCGTTTTTTTAAAATACTTCCTCATTACAGTTCCTTTTCCCCTCCTCCTCCACTTCATTCCCCTTTCCTATCACATGTAAACCAAAAACAAGCTGTCCTGTACCTATGTAGTTTGTGACAAGACTACTCAGAACTTGAACCATACAAACCTTAGAATAACAAAAAAAAAGTATCGTTGCTTAAAATAAAGACAGAAATATAGACAATACAGTCTTAAATCTGTACTGAATTTATTATTAAGCATATTCCCTCGTTTGTAACAGTTTACTGAATACATTGTCTTTCTTTCGCATGTTTAGCTAATGCACTTAAAGATTTACACAGGGACAGTAGTTGTCGTCAGTGCTGGCGCTGAAAACTAACTCATACTATACACGCAGTCAGTAGTTCGTCTGTAGTCGGGGATATTTCTTTTGATGTACACACGTTTGTAAAGTCAGTGCGGAAAAATGAATTCTCGAAAACAACAAAAAAAACATTTTGGACTCGGTAGGGCCAAACATTCATTTCTCGTGCAATATTCTGTAATACTGTGGCACGCACTTCTTTATTTCTGTAGTTTTGTGATTTATTATCCCACAGACGTTCATTGTCGCGGTATAGTTGAATAAGCCTTAAGTTTTCCGTGTCGCTCAATTTTTGCGTCATTTTGTGATGCGGTGCGACGCCGCAATGGTCCCCACACAATAGAGCGGTAAATTTTTGGATCTATCTTTTAAACGATTTGTGGTCACATTTGTCGCAAACATATCTGACAGAACGGATGAAAAAGCACAAAGAAACGTTTTTATTTGAAGTCATTTATTTACAAGATTTTACGGATTCCATTTAGTCGTTATATTTTACGAAACTCAGGAAATTTAAGAGGCCTGTTAACAATATAAATAAATTCATTGCATGACCGAACGAGCTGAGTTAGGACGCCTGGTGCATTTTGTAGTTATATCTATCGTTTACCTATCTATCGTTTTTAATAAACAATTTTTGCTTAAAAAATATGAAATCTTTATTCCTTATAAAGTACTAATTACACTGGTAAATTTTATTTGAACAATTATGCTGTCGTAAATAAAAAAAGTTCATAGTTAACGCTATTTAATATTACTTTCAAAGTCTTTTTGTTTAAAATAAGTTTTGTTATTTATTAAATGATTTTTCAAAATTTGGGGCCGCTACAAACTTTACGATCATATATGAAATAATAACATTCTATTTTTTTAATTTCGGTTGTTTAGACCAGTAACACAATCTAAGAGCTCAAAAAGTGATTTCAATGATTTTATGAAAATCTTGTTCAGCAATTTTCGGTTTAATTTTTTTTTATGGGATAGGGTGCAAACGAACAGACGGATCACCTGATGGTAAGTGATCACCGTCGCCCATGGACACCTGCAACACCAGAGGGGCAACAAGCGCGCAGCCGGCCTTAGAGGGACGAATATGTTCTACGCTTGAAAGTTTGAAGGTCGTATCGGTCCGGAAATACCGCTGGCGACAAACTGTTCCAGAGTTTAACTGTGCGAGGCAGAAAACTTCTAGAAAAACGCACAGTTGAGGACTTCCAACCATCCAAATGATGGGCGTGGATTTGTTGTTGCGTGGAACGATGGCGGAAGGTAGCGGCAGGTATGAGTCCGAACAATTCCTCGGAGCATTCCCCGTAATAGATGCGATAGAAGATGCACAGTGAAGCAACATCTCTACGCAGGGCCAGTGGATCAAGCCGACTTGAAGTGTCCCGGCAATCTAGAGGCGGTCTAGAGGGAGAAGCTGGTATTGGGGTGCCCCTGTCCAAAGATGAGAACAGTACTCCATATGGGGCCGAACTTGCACCTTGTAAAGCTGCAGGCGATGTGCTGGAGTGAAATACTGCCTCGATCTATTAGCACACCAAGCTTCTTAGATGATAATTTAGCCTTACCCTCTAAGTGACCACGGAACTGGACCTTGCTCGATATGTCAACACCAAGAGTCTCAATATTGGCTGAGGCAGTTAGGGGAATGTTTTGAATGCGAGGTGATACGACAAATGTGGTTTTTTTGGCGGTGAACGCGCAAACCTGTGTCTTAGTAGGATTGAAATGGACAAAATTAAGTCGACCCCAGTTAGAGACTTCCTCTAACGAAGAATCAATAACAGTCTTAAGTTGATTCCGGCTTTCAATGACGCATTCCCGAGAAATACCTGCACGACCGTTATAGGAGGAGTCCATCGTGCTGTCATCTGCATAACAATGAATACCGCTTATTTGCAGCATGTCATTAATATGTAGAAGAAAAAGGGTAGGCGATAGCACACATCCTTGGGGAACACCAGCATTAATAGACGATAGGTCTGAGCATTCACCGTCGATTAAAACCTTAATGCTTCTGTCTGCCAAAAAACTAGTGACCCATGCACATAATTTCTCGGGAAGCCCATACGAGGGAAGTTTTGATAGAAGAGCTTTGTGCCACACTCGATCGGAGGTCGCTATGTCCAAACATACTGCCAAGGCCTCCCCCTTTGTTTCAATTGCCTTAGCCCGGTTATGTGTCAAGTAAACTAGAAGATCGTCAGCAGAGCGACCATTACGCTGGTGGTTGATAATGGACTCCATTATCTTTGAAAGCAAAGGGGTAATAGCGATCGGCCTGTAGTTGGACGGGTTCGAGCGGTCACCTTTCTTTGGGATCGGATGCACGAAAGCAGTCTTCCATGAGGTTGGGACGATGCCAGATGAGTAAGAAAGCCGGAATAGGCGCGTTAAGACCGGTGCCAACTCTGGAATTAAGAAGTAAAGACCAATTTACAAATTTGTTTATATATTTTTAATTTCCGAGTTCAAGAACTCGAAAAATACTGATGTAAAAAATCACAATTGTAATGTAATAGGTAAGCTACAACTTAATATCATAAAATTTAAGCACATGTCTGGTGCGGTTATAAATATAAAGTTCTTTAGAGTCCACAGACCACCTAGACAGAAATATATAGGTAGTTGTAGTTTTAAAACTCTATTATTAAATAGTTTTGTTGTTCATTCATTCTTTTTCATTCATTGCTTAGCCATGAGTGAAAGATGTCAAACTAAGTTTATTCAAAATTTTGAAAATCCTAATTCTATTATTTATTTTGGAGTTTTGTCTGTGTCACTTACCGTTTTATATTTCTATTACAGGTAGGTTATAATTTATTTATTTTATATGGGTAACCACTTATACACAAATTATCTTAACCCATATTTTGTATTTCAGATTTCACTTCTTTGCTTTATCTTTGAGCTATGTGTTGGGATGTGTGGCTTGTTATTATGGGTTGAAGTCGAATATTTTGCACAAATACGTGCAACAACTGAAGTGCCATTTTGTCAGTGAATTAGTAGATGATAATGCAGGTGTTACTTCAGATAAAGTAAGTTTTGTTTTAAACTTAACAAATAATATAAATAAGCTTATCAATTATTATAGTTTTATACATTATACCTTTAGGAAGTATACTCAGTGATGGCAATTACTAAATAATCTAAAATCATATCAGGATTTCTTCAGTTTAAAGTGATAAAGAAAAAGGTTGTATACATTAACTTCTATGCCATACAGTCATATATAGTAAAATAATAAAAGAAATAAAATCGAATTATTAAATAATGAAATTATATTTCTAATAGTAATACAAGACAAATGGACTCTTTTACCTGTTCCTCATTTCAAAATTCAGTGTAATATAAAAAAAAATGTTATTAAAGGAATGGGAAAAGTTTATTAAGCAACAAGTAAATGAATGTTGTTGCATTTGAAAATCTTGAAATCTAAATGTTTCCAGTTTAAATATGCAATTAACATCAATTTGTTAATAATTTCAGGGATGTGTAACATGTGGATCCAAAGATTGTGCTAGGCATAACCCTGACATTCCAATAGAGCCTTGGGTGGGTTTACAAATACACAAACAATTAGACCAGGCAATAGAAGATGTAAGTTTTAAACTTAAACCTAGTTATCTCTTGATCATCATTGTCAGCCTGCCAATGTTCCCACCGTTAGTTGCTGTGCAAATGTATCTACCAATTCCTTATATGTAGAACCCAGCCTGTAACAGTTTTAAGTAGAAACTTTGCATTTTGAGGCCAGTTCATATGTTTGGTAAATTTCCACAATGAATAATTGGTCAATGCAATAGTGGATAATGACAGAAGTTGTTCTATCAAATATTTATTGTGCCAGTTATCTTTTTACTCTTTTGATCCTTTTTTTGTCTGAAGGTAGGCTGCTTTGATGCCAAATTTTTTGTAAAATAAAAATAATATAGTGAGAAAGATTAAAACTACAGACTTTCTTCTATTCTATTCTATTTCAACTAATCTGGTATTTTGTCTAACTAAAAAACAAAAATAAACTTATATTTAAAAAAAAACAGTACAGTACAACTAAAGGCTGGAAGAAGATAAAATAATATGCAAAACATATATAATATGCAGTCACAGGCTTGAAAATGAATACTTATTATTCAAATGAGAATCTTTGCCCATGCCTCCGATTGCATGTTATGTATGATGCTGCATTTTTTTAATCTTGTTCCAGACTTTGTTTGTGTTTTTCATTATTTTAACTTGTAAATCAAAATTAAATTAATATTTGAATACTTGAAAATTTTCTTTGACAGTTTTATAATACAATTTTGGAGCAGTTTATAAACTCATGGTACAGCAAGATCACCTTGCAGCCATATTTTGTTGACGAACTGCGTTATCAGCTTCGGTACGCATCCGCCTGCCTTTTGAGACGAGCTGTCAAGGTTTGTATAGGCTGTTAGGCGTCGATTTTAATTCGGACGAGTAGTATATTAAACAGCGGCGGTGTTTGCAGATAGATTTCTCTCGGTTGTTGACGTCTCGTCTCGTACCTTGCGCGTTACGTCACTACTGCGAGTGCGGGGCGGCGCGCGTGCGCCCGCATGCGGCCGCCTGCAGCAGGAGCGCGGAGATCAAGTACCTCCGCTGCGTCACCGACGCTATCATGCCATATCTCCTCGCTCACACGGAAGTTCAGAACTCGTGAGTACTAGAAATGAATGAAATCTACATAAAGTTTCATAGCGTGCTGTTGCAGGTGTAATTATTATTTTTGACTAGCTGTTCCCGCGACATCGTCTGCGAAGATTGTAACCTATGACACCTGCGTATAATGTAGCTTCCTGTATGTTCGGTTAATGACTGAACACTGTGTTATATGCGTTACGTTTTTTCAGTAGTACATTTCGATCCCTGTTACCGATCGGATGTTCCCTCTAACAATTAACTTATTTATCGTTAACATTAACATTTTAAATTAACAATTTATAGGTTGAGTAAACATTATAAACTTTTGATCGTTACTTAGTAAAGTGACTTTAATGCAAATATTATTTTTACTTCAGCTTCCCTTATACTACACATACTAATCCCGGAACACCGTAGGTGAAATATATTTTTTTTCCGGAGCATCTATACTAATATTATAAAGAGGAAATATTTGATTGTTTGTATGTTTGTTTGCAACGAAAAGGCTCCGAAACTACATCATACAGTGAACATAGGCTGAGTTTCTTGCCGGTTCTTCTCATTACAAAGTCTCTCGCCGTAGTTTTGCGAACCGACGGCGTAGTTTTCTGTAAAAACCTAAACTGAATAAACAATTTTGGTTTGATTTATATTTTATCCCGAAAAACAGCTAATAAAGGGATGAAAATGAGAGTGGAAGTTTTGTATAGGGAATGAAAACGTACCATAGTAACCATTGTTTATGTTTACTATTCAATTTGTCATTGTAATAATCTCCGTGTCGTATCCAAATAAACAGTTCCCTAGGGACCACGCGAGCGGAGACGCTGGAAAGCTAGTGTCATATAAATAAACTGAATTGTAACTCTAAGCACTGTGTGGAGGAAAATAATATAAATTTTAATGATGCCCGAGATTATTTTGGTATGTTCAATATAAGTGTTGTATTACTGATTGCTTTTCATACATTCACAGGGTGTTCCGCGTTCTGATCCGCGAGATATTCGCGGGCTGGGTGTTGCTGTCCTTAACGGACGTTCTGGCGGATCCGTATATACTAAACACACTCATTATACTGGCCACGGGCGATGAAACCATGGCGCAGTTACCGTCCTCGCCTAATTATAAGGTGAGCTGACTGTTTTTTTGTTTGTTTGGCCGTCAGTAGTAGATTGTTGAAAAATATTAAACACGTATTTTTTGCGTAATCATTCAATTACGACGATACATAGAGTTAAAATGTCACATGACGTCACGTTATGGTAAATTTTCTACGAAACTTTAACGTAACGAGCCCCCATTCTTCAATATGAATGCCTGTTATATAAGCTGTTTCTTGTTAAATTGAAGTAAAAAAAATATACGTATCTAATATTTTTCTATTATCTGATTGACGGACTAAATAAAATTTCTTTTTATTTGTTGCTTAACTCAAAACATACAAATAAATGTACCATATTGGCTTGACCTGTGTTATTATTATTACCCTCCAATCCGCATTGGGCCAGTGGAGGGTCATGGCACATCCTCCTTGGTGTATGGCCTCCGGGCCGATCCCGCGCCTCGCCTACCATGAGAGGGACATCGCTGAGTTTTAGTGGGTAAACTCCTGTTTCTTGTCTAGCCCCCATTCTGGGGATGGGACCACAGGAGGAGTCCCACAGACCCCGTGAACCCCAGCGCATGGGGGGAGCGGACATGCGGAATGCATTTCTCAGCGTCAAAAAAAAAATCCTTAACCACCCATAAGGAAGGCCTGAGCCCAGCCCCTGCAGTGGGGACGTAAAAGGGCTGATGATGATAATGTTATTAAGAAAATATACATAATAATCACATACATTTGTCAGGTTGAATTTTTGGAGACTTTCGCCCGCCACACAGATTCTGTTTACATTCAACGCAGCAAGTTACTGCGCGTCGACTTGGAGCAAGTTATTGATGACCAGGAACAGTTCTACGCATTCGTGCAATACTTGAAGACCACCAGTCATATACACTTGCTGCTCTTCTATAAGGATATCAGTAAGTGGTATTACGATTATGATCTTTATTGTATTTTAATTAGAGTGCACTTTAGATGTAGATATGAAAATATAAGTAAAAACTGTTATAATCATATTGATATGCCTCATAGAAAAATGTTGTATTTAGTTGACTACTAAATAAAAAGGAGTTGATGTCCTCCGTGACTGATAGGTTCGTACCCCGGTTTCAATATGTCGTCGTCTTTGAGGTCCCAGATTCGTTTCCTGGTCGGGTCCAAGTAGAAATTGAACATTTCTATATTGTCTTAGGTCCTGGTATTGTCTTTGTTGTTTCAGATTTCCATAATTTGCTGCTCTGAGCATTAATTTCATATATCTTTACATATTATCATTATTAATAAACGAATTGAATGTAAACATTCAGTTTAAGTAGGACTTACCGCTTCTGATTGTGTGCTCGGATTTGATTTCATTTGATGTTTGAATGATTACTAAATTTTTAGTTGTAGTAAGGTTTTTAAAGATTATATTGGACAGAAAGCAAACAAGAGAGTAAGATGACAGTCTTAATATTTTTTTTTTATAATATTTTATATGAATAGACAGAGTTCCCGTTACAGAACCATGTAGGTTTAACACGATTAAATCTAGAAATGTCAAATCTATCTGAATTTATTGTTAAAGAAGCTACGGACAGACAGCCATCATTAAATATTGTTACAGAACTATTTCAAACGAAACTGTTGAACCCGGAGCTGGGTGTTGCAGAGCAGGAGTCCCTATATAAGGAAGCTTGCGAGTTATACGAGTTGTATCTGTCTCCGCACTCCAACACGCGAGTCCCGCTAGACTCGCAGCTGGCTGTGGAGCTACATAACTTGTTGGAAGCGCCGGATTCTATCAGGAGGTATGTACTTTACATTGTTATCAATGACTAGCTATTTTCCTGCGACTGCGACTTGTCACATTCCCGCTGGTGAAACAATTTTCGGAAATACTGTCCGAAGATTACCCCATACAAATAAAGTTAGAAAACTACCTTTTAAATAGAGAGAGGGAGGGAGAGAGAGAGCGAGAGAGAGAGAGAACTATGTTACATTTTGTGACATTATCTTAATATGGATATGACATCGATTTTATTATATCGCTTATAGGAGTGACATTATTTTGGTATTCTAGGTTTATACAGGAAAATTTGTAGTCAATGCACAAAATTTTATATTTTGTCCGATATGCTAAATCAAATTCACATTTCTTTTCTCTTTTTTTTATTTTATTTATAGATTACAAACTAGCAGAGCCCTCTACCTGGCAGCTGGACAAGCTCATGCTGTTTTAGAGAAAGTTATGCTACCAAAGTTCTTGCACAGTCAAGAGGTGAGTAAGAAAACTGAAACAGTTTTAATATATTAATGTACAGTCATGGAAGTCTTCATAATACACTTGGCATTTGTTGTTTGTGTTTTATCACAATAAGTTAGGTTGAAACTTTTCCCGTATTTTCTTGCCAAGCAGTATGAATTTTCATAAAAAAGTTAAATTTAGGTTCCGTGGTCTAATTGCTTATTTTCAAATTTTTTGAAGTCAATCAAAAGAGTTGAATACTAACTGCAATCTTTTGACGAATAGTTTTTATAAGAACAATAGACAATTTGTCCACCGCTTCTGCTTGGACTCGAATCTCTATTTCAAAGTTGACCTCGTACTGGGGGTTGATTACTCTTGGGGTAGTGTTTACCCCCCCTTCTTGGTGGTGCAAAATTTGTCACAATTTTGATCACCCATCCTAAGAGCGGCATTTGTGACATTTGTGTTTTTGCATTTGAGCTAAACCTTTGCGACCGAAGATGTACGTATTAGTCATTAAATTAAAAAATATATATTTTTAATGTTATTATTGTAGAGTTAACTTTGTATGAGATTTTGGTTAGCTCTTTTCTGATTATTTCAATGCTGTTTCTAATTATGTATCTATATTTTTTTTTCAGTATTACGAGTTATTCATAGGATCTAGAACGCCGACCGGATACCAGAAACAAATGACAAAGAAGTGAGTTTTCTTAATGAAAAATCTATAAAAATAGTTTTCAGTATAGCATTGTGAAAGCAAAATTTATCAAATATAATAATAAGTTCAGTGAGTTCTTTTAATATTGGTATACGACACCTACCGCAGCCAAAGCAAACTCATTGGTTTGATTTTCATATTGAAACTTAACAATTGGGCGTAGGAATTTTTATGACTAAAGTGTTTTTGGTACAAAAATTAATCGAATTTATAAGAAAAATTTTGATTGCGTTCTTGGCAAAAAAATAATCTATACTATGTCTACCTGTCTTATTATTTATCTACAAAAATCAGCATCTCATTTTGTAACTTTTAATAGAATCAATTAAAATCATCATCATTGGTCTACTAATCTGATCCCCACTGATGAAGCACAGGCCTTCCCTATGAGAACGGATTAGTATCAATGACAAGGGTCGAGTGCGGATTAGTTGGTGGGTGTTAACTGCAGATGCAGCCGGGATCAAAGACTTAACGTGCTTTCTGAACAACGGATCAGATTCAGATACAAAATCAATCTAGAAAATGGCCGAACCAGGAAATTAAATTGATTTTGGCTATTTTAAATAAAAAATCGTAAACTAAATAGGGAAAATTCTGGATCCATTAGAAAAACTTTGATATATTCCAAAATATTCCCATTGTCCGTTGAAACAAGTTGTAAGTAAAAGAGAATCTATAATGCAGTATACTGAGTACCTTAATTAATTAATTATTTATACATACATTATAACTTTAAAAAATAGCTCGTTTACTTTGGGAGCCTTTGCTTGTTAGTTTGATATTGCAACTTTAAATAGTCAACATTTGTTTATAGACCCCAGGAGAAATTACTATTGGCAGCTCTAAAGTTGGGTAACAAGTTGAAAGGTGCTCTGAGACCGCAGGCTATAGACGGCCAACTATTAGACTGTCTCACCAACGAGGAAGTGTCAGAGGGAGACGGAGAGAACATGGACATACT